GAACATAAAAGTGAATTCACAGTCTTTATAAGGGGAAAGAGATTCAAGAAAAATGCAGGTGGTCCAGGAGAATTAACTTTGTCAAGAAAACCTGCAGAATTACGAGTTCACTGGTGAAGAAGCACCACTCTGGATTCTGCAGCCAAGGCCACAGTCAAGATCCTCCACCAACCATGGAAGCCCCCAAAGCCCACACCACCAGCAGACCTTGCCCAGAGGCACCAAACCCAACCCCACACCCAAAACATGCTTGGAATATACTGTATTTCAAGCCCTCAACACAAGTGCTGTAGAAGGTGATGAAATTAGCTTCAGGGATAATTTTTCCTATGTTTTCTCCAATTCTAGATTAAATATTTGAGCGTTTGGACAGTGAGAACTTCATTGCTATGCCAACAAAGAATTCACCTTTTTCTCAGGCATATTACAAACCACCCAATAAACTCTGCAGCATCAGACTTGTAAGTTTCTTCTCAATATATATAAAATAGCCTTGTTGGACTGCCTGACCATGTCACAACATGTGATCCCTTACAGCTACCACAGAACTGAAGCTTACTTTTTCCAAGGTATCACACTTTGTACTTTTTAAGGACTGTTGCCTACTTTAAAATATTTGTGATTGCACTTTCTTCCCCTGTTCCTCAACAACCTAGCAACCTATCTAAAATGGTTATAAAGAAAATTTTAAAAAACATTATTAAAATGGCAGAACTTATTTTGCACAGATTTCTCTTTGCTCTTGAACTGCTGTCTTAGAGAACTTAAAAATTAAACACTCTGACTTTTAGCACACGGGCTTATCTCAGAAACATCTATCTCCCATGTCGTCTTCACATGCTATAAAAAAGGGATGGGCACCACAGTCAAATGCCTTCTTTGCAAATGGAAAAGCACTTCCAAGAGTTTAGGTTTCTCCTGGTGGAAGCATCCAACCCTCTGCCACAGCAGCTGCTTGTGGTAACACAAAGGAACATTGAGTCAGGTAAGTGATGCAGGTACAGAATGAACTTTTTTTCTTAACTGACACAAGTTATAAATTGTATACACATAAAACAATAATATATTCTTATCTGTGATCCATTTCCCAGTCTGGTTTGCTAAACAGACCCAAAAACCCCAGTATGGCCCAGCTGGGGAACTGGAAGAGGCTGCTAATGCTACACCAACACACAAAAGAGATGAGATGACAAAACTGCAGTTCAAGTCTAGCACGATACTGAAACTTTTACCTTCTGCATGTCTCCACCAGCCGTCTGGAGAAGGACAATAAACTCTTTACAGGATTTGTGGCGTCACAGCTTATTTGTCATGCAGACATTATGAGAGGAGTCACCCTGTTTCCCTGACAAAGCACTATAAATATACAGAGGTATATCATTCTGAAAAAGATCTGTATAGCTTCACTGCAGCAACAAGTTCCCAGCATAGCTGCTTTTCCTGGAGCACTGCCATCATATTTTCTTATCAGTAACTGAAGTAACTAACTAGCTAACTCCCAGTGATGGGCTTTGCCTTCTAGATCTGCATAAAGGTCGTTTGCAAAGGGGGAAAGGCAGGCTTGATATATAAATAAATAAAAAGAAGCCATTGTGCCACATCCACGGCTTTGTTTCCAAAAGCCACTAAGAAGTGCAATGCCAGGCTGAAGTGCCTGACTATTCAGTAAGTACAAGGAGTGGCCCATTCCCTCCCCACAGTGAGATTGTTGACAGCTGTTTTAGAAGAGGGAAAAAAAATGAAGCATGACTAAGCTATTCATAAAAATCACATTATATCCAACACCCTAAAAACCAGTTCTGTTTTAGAAAAGGTGCAGAGCTTCCTGGTGACCAGGTGGTACATGCCAGCCCCAACCAGGCTCCCAGCTGGATTATATCCCCTGTGGCAAGCCCCAGGGCAGCAAAGGAGGACTCTACACCAGAGCTATCAGCTGCTTCAGAACGTCACTCATTACCTTTATCTGTCCTACAGGTGATCAATGCAAGCAAGCACATGAGCACTTGGCACAGAACAGCACTCAGTAATCACAAGGTGCAGGCTGCAAGGTGTTTTCCTCCCCAGCTTTCCACATCCAGCCTCTCATGTGCCTGCAAACAGGAGTCACCCTCCAGCTGGAAACCACACCAACTGCCAACTCCCTGTGCAGGATACTGGTAAAACATGGGGCCACAATCACACAGGGAGGCCATATCATGCCTTTATGGCCTCCTGGACTACCCAGCCTTCTCCTCAAGTTTATAACTTCTTAGCAGTGCCTTCCACCAGCAGAGACAAGACAAAACCAAATAGTTCCTCCCTACCAATCAGCTGTGTGGTTCAGCTGACTTCAGGCTATTTATTGCCTGTGTGGGGAACCCCTATAGAAATAGCATTTAATAGCACTCAAGTAGATTGCAGAGATAACTAGCTACAGTAATAAGCAGAAAAGCTTCCAAGCTGCTTCAAGGTCGGTTTTACTGGCGAGTGGATCACCACCAAATACCAGGCAGAGAAAACTGATACGTTGGTGTCCTGGAAACAGTGGAAAAGAAATAGGTACAGCAGGCACTGCAGCTTCTACTGGTAATTTTTTTGTTAAGTAGCTATTTATTAAAACTTAATATTCCAGCAGAAAATTATATGAAAGAACCCCACTGCTCTTGTAACACAGGAGCATGTGAACACCACCAATAAACCTACCAATGTTTTTTTCCTCAAGGATAATTTATTGACTGCTGTTCTTAATTCATGCTTTGGATAGAATAACCAGATTCCTTTAACAGTACTTAATCCTCCTCTTAGCACAGGAGTGTACCCTAGACCAGAACACGGCTTACTCACAAGTATATCCTGCTGAGAGATTAGTGAGTTCTGCATATGCCTGAGTCTCAAAGCTGCGCTACGCAGACTGTGTTTAAAAACATCCATCATCGCATAGTACCTGGCAGAGCTCTGTTCCTTTGAGAAGCTTTGAGCTCTTAAATGTGTTTCCCTCCTTTGATGCAGCGAAGCTGTAAATCAGGAACATCGAGCTCCTGCCTTTCTCTCTGGCTGCAGTCCCTGGCTGGACTCTCTCCCTTCGGACACGTCGTGTCCTCACCTCTCGGGCTATGCCGGCCATCCGTGGTCACCAGAGATGGGCAGGAAATCCAGGCTGGAACGCTGTCACACAGCACAGCTCGTATCCACACTACCTGCAGGGGACTCGTCATTCAGGCTACCTACAAAACCTGTCTGCCTGGCAGAACTCAACACCCGTGCCCTTCTAGCAACAGCCTCAGGCTAGCCTGTCTGTCCAGCACTGGGCAGCGCTGCAAGGACAGATGGGCAATGGAGAGGCTCAACCCATGAAATGGACAACAGCTACACACCTGAACTGGTGCCAAGGGAAAACACACGACCAGATGATCCTCACCTTGTCTATTGCACCCTTACTCTGCTACCAGGCTTGTAAAAAAGCAACCAAAACAAAAAACCCAAACACATCAATTTCAAGTGTACGAACAAGTCACTGTCACCATGTCCCAAAGCACAGCAAATGCCTCTCTACTACAGACAGCAGCTTCTATCCACAGGCAGGGATGTTATGAGGTTAAACATCAATCTACTCCCACTGCTAAGGTATCTATGTATAAAAATACAGCTCCTCTAACACCACAATAAATGATATCTTTACCTTCAAGGACCCATGTGGAACTTGGTTCACCCTTACAATTCCACAACAGCTCAGCAAGGGCGTGCAGAACATGAAAAACACACCCAACATGGGACTCCAGGAGAGTCACCACAAACAGAACTAATGTCGCTTGGCCCTTTAAAACTTATTAGATTACATTAGCCAAAACTCCCAGTACACGAGACATCCATAGATCTCAGACCAACTGTCTAAACTCAGCTCTGAAGCTACATGCTTTACATATTTCTACTGAATCGCATATCTCCATGAGCACCTAAAGTTTTACGGCTGACGGAGATTACAGAGAGCCACAGTGACCAACTGTCCTACAGCAGTGCAGGATTTCTAATCCCTTTATCAAATCTCTATCTGGTCATCCACAGCAGAATTGATACAGTGTACTCTTAAAAAAAACTTTCTATAAATCACTTTTTTCCCTCACTTCCAATCTCCAGCTAACATGAAGCCCTGTAAAGGACACAGGAGCAGAACCAATTCCAGAGGTCAGCAAAATCAGATTCTGCAAATCCCCACTCCTCTATATGACTTGCGCTTACAACACAGTCACAGAAGGTGGATTAATAAACCCAACAGTTTACAGGTTCAGGAAAAAAAACTACTATTTCGCAATCCTCATCCAGAAACTCCTGCATTGGCTTCAGAAGAAAGGTCTGCACACGAGAAGGAACAAAAACAATTATATTTTCAAGCAACAGAGTGAACGCATGAAACAGACCCCACGGCAGTGACACCAAAGGCCACTGAGACCCAAAAGTGACACGCACCACCACCAGCGTGTTGCGGGGGGCTCTTGATAAGAATCCGCGGTGACTTTCCGTGCAATAAACTGCGATACAAAGTTGTGTCTGTGAGCCTGAGGGGGGGTTCCGAGCAGGATATCAGTATTCCAGCGTGGAGGGAGGCTGGGGGCCAGGCGGGTGCGTGTCCCCGGCACACCCCCGGGCACAGCGGGGCCGCCACCCCCGCCCGGCTGCGGGGGAACCGCGCCCGGCCCCGGCCCCGGCCCGCAGACAATAGCGGCGGGGAGCAGCCGCGCGAGAAAACGCTCCAAATAAATGAGAAACTACCGAGAGCCCTGAAATGAAAAGGAATAAAGCCACGCGGAGGAGAGGAGCCGCCCGGAGCGGCTCCACGCGAAGTTGCGCGGAGAAAAACCCCCCCGAGGACGAGGAAGGGCGGGGGAAGCGTGCGAGCGAGCGGGAAGGGGCGGGGGGCTCCCGCACACCCCCGACCCCGGGGAGCGCCCACCCCTCCGCCCCCGCCAGCGGCCTCCCCAAACTTTCCCCCACCCCTTCGCCCAACTCCGGCGGGGCAAACTCACCGCGGGGCCCGGCGGGCGGCTTCGCCCCTGGCAGCGGGGCCGGGAGGGAAGGGAGAGGGACGGGGACGGGGAGGGGGCGGAGGAGGCGGCCGGGCCGGTGCTCTCCGCCCGGGGAGGCGGGCAGGAAGGAGAGGAGGAGGGCCGGGGGCTGCCGCCTCGCAACCTGAGCCGCCGCCGCCGCACCCGGCCCGGCCTCCCCGCATGCGCCGCCCCGGTGGGGCCGAGCGGGGCCGGGCCGTGCGGGGCTGAGCGGGGCCGGACGGGGCCGCCCTGGGCCGGGCAGTGCGAGGCCGGGCCGTGCGGGGCCGGCGGCATTCGCTGGGGCTGAGATCCGGCCGTGAGCAGCGCTGGGGAAAGCCCCGCTGCCTGCCCCGGGGGCTTCTCCCTCGCCTGCGCCCCTTGCCGGTAGCTCGGCTGCTAGGGGAGAGGCGGCGGCGTGTGTGGAACGTGGTGGTGCGGGTGTGGAAGAGCTGCTCAGGCTGCGGGGTTGTTTTTATCGAAGGGGCGCATGGGGATTGCTTCATGCCTGGAAGAGTTCAAGGCCAGGCTGGATGGAGCTTTGAACAACCTGCGCTAGTGGGAGGTGTCCCTGCCCATGGCGGGGAGGTTGGAGCTGGGTGATGTTGGAGATTCCTTCCAACCAAAGCACTACGGGATTTTAGGATCTTGACTTTCCACGCGCTGAGCTTTGTCTGTAGAGCCTGTTCTGGTGGGTGTTGGAGTTCTGGCATCCCCACTTCCAGCAGCTAAAGCCTCTCCTGTTCTGTGACCAGAATCTGCTGCACATCTGTACCTGTCACAAACCCAGCAGCTCCACTTGAGTCCCACCAGCGCAGTCCGCAGCCTCATCCTCCTCCTCACCCTCTTTCCTGGTTCTATGGTTGTGTAGGTTTGATGGAGGAACATCTCCCGTACCGTTCCCACGCCTTTCCCCGGAAAAGCAGTGGAAAGGGCACCCCACCATTAGCAAATGAGCTCATGTGGTCTGTGGTCCGTGTGCGGCTGGGCTGGATGAGGCCCTGCACAGTGGAGATGCCTGGTCTCTTGTGGTGGTGATTTGCCTTCAGTTACTGTTTTTGTTGGAAGCTCCTTGGAAATGTATACATGTGGTGGCCCAGCATTTCCACTTGGCTTTTTCTACAGTGTCCCGCTTGCCCTGGCAGTGGCTGGATGATGATGTGCACAAAGGCAGTATCAGCACTGAGCTTAACATGTGTCACTTCATGAGAACCAGCCCAAAAGCACTTCACAACACTTTCCAGAGATTTTGCTGCACTGGGCGAAGGCTGCAGGTAATTCCCGTGCATCATGTTCTAAGTAGAACAGAAAAACCAACACTGTATATGGTGCAGAAGATTATCTCCTGAAAACCCTGCACGTGAACTTGGCATTGGCTTCCAAAACATGCACTGTTGATTCAGCTGAAAGCAACTGAAACAATAAAAATGGTCCCAATGCTTGTGCATTTTGGTCATTTTGGAGACTGGAATGTACCGGCATTGTACACCCTTAACAATCAGATATAAAGCAGTAGGTTGTTTTTTTGGTTTTTTTTTTTTTTAATATGGCTCCAATAAAATAAGGCACATGAGAGCAGGGACTCTGGAAAAATATCTTCCTTTGCCATCTGTACAAGGAGGGCTTATGGGGCAGATCACTTGGAAGTTCCCAGCTCCAAAAAGAGGGGTCAGACACAGCGATGGCTCAGCAAAGAGCACCATCTAGTGAAAGGCCACGTCTTGACAAAACTGTCCCCTACAGGGCTCAACCAAACAATGACTGGCCCAGCCCAGCCTGCCTCGTCGCACCTGAGGAAATTAGCATGGAAAATACTGAGAGAAGACAGTGCAGCAGCTTAGCACCAAAGCAGGAGGGTCAGCTGGTTGGCCCCATTCATGGAAGATATTCTGGCCCATGCAGTCACAGAAGGTGAATCAAAACACAGGCAGAGGTGGTGTAATTTTCCCTAAGAGAAATACTCCTTGACAAAGTGGGCTTCTCCAGCCTCCCACATATCCCTGGAGTGCCAGGGGCTGGTGGTAACTCGGGGGGGAATTAGCAAAGGTAGGCAGCACTGTGGGATGGGTAGGCAGCTCCCCAGACTGCCAAGGGATTGGACAGGATCTCAGTTTAGATTTGATCTCATGTCCCCCTGGCTTGTGGGTGGGCTGCAGATGCCCTGGGAGCAGAGACCACTGAGCAAGTGCCACAAAAAGGCTGTATTGGCCACTGCAGATGCCCAGCCCCTGCTCTCATCAGCAGCTAACACATCTTTTTACCTTGCATTTCCCCAAGATTAGTCTGCACTTTACTTTAGTCTTTAAATTATCCACCCCCAAATTCTCCATATCAAAATATCCTGTCTGCAAACACATATCACCACAAACCAAAGCTGGGAGGCAGTGGATTAAGGGAAATTTGTGCAGCGCTCTGTGGATGCCAACCTCCTGACAAATCATTTGTCTCCAAATCATCTCTGACACTTGCTCCCCTGGGTTCCATCCTCTGCTATATGTCCAGGTCTGCTTTTCAAACCTTATGAAAACATAATAAAATATATCAGATGTTCTTTCATTGCCTCTTTCAGGTTATATTTTGTCACAAGCTTTGCTGCAGGGCTGCCTGCTTCCTGCCAGGGAACTGGATTGAAGTGCGAGTTGCACTCATGAATGAGACTGGAATTTGGTTCTGCACAACATAATCTGGACATTTGTGTGTAGTGGCATGAATTAGCAATATGAGCACATTGTTCCTGTTTGCTGGAAATGAGCTGTCCTTGCAAGTGAATAGAAAACAGAGTGCAGTGCAATGATGGAAGCAGCAGCTATTAGAGATTTGTTTTCATCATATCCAAGCAGCTACAAAACTGAGATACTGAGCATTAGTGTGTGGTGTTTTCTTTGTGTCCCTGCTTGTTTGAAGCCAGTGCCTGGTAGCTGAGAATAACAGCAGCTACACCTGAAGAGATTTTAGTATCATTTTCCTTCTTGAAACTCTACTCATTGTAATCTCTAAACTCCTGTAAGAGGTACAATCTTTGCTGCAAAATTGTGGACTGTGGCTGAAAGCTGCCTTCAGGAGAAGTTAACCCATTCCTGTGTACTAGATAGATATCCCAGTTAAAATGTAAAAATGGATGGTAGATAGAGCAGAGGGAGGGATGAAAGGGGACTTGTAGTCTGCAAAAACTGTCTTTAATCCTCCTGGGACAGTTTTCTCTTTCACTTGGGCTTCATACTTCTTGCTTTGTCAAAGCACACTGCTTACAACCATCTGCTCTGGCCATCCTGTTCTTTTCAATCCACCTTTTAATTTAATACAGTTCTATTTCTGCCTTCAGCAAGCATTGTGCAGGTACTTGCAGAGCAAGGGATAGGCAAATCTGTGCCAAAAGGTTTTATTGAAGTGTCAGAAAACATCCATCAAATCAGTTTATGAAACTGAATTATGTGGGACCCCAGGAGTGAAAAATTACAAACACAGAGAGTTAAGTTGGTAGCAGACTATGATAAAAGCTTTTATCAACACAGGCTATAAAATTAATCAAATGCAGTAGACTCCCAAAAAATTAGACCAGTTTCCTCATTCCCTACACTCTACTCAATTTCAGATCTAAATAACATACAAAGTAGATTAAAATTAATCAATACAGCAGATCTCACACTAAAGCAACTAATCAAGAAAGCAACACATGCATTTGCAAACAATTATTTATTGCCACCACCATGTGTGGCCAGGATGTGAATGCATGGGGCACCTCTGGCTTCTCTTGAATGCATGCCAGAGCTGATGGGTGTATTTGTTTATTTGTGTGAGGCAGCAAGAGAAACTGTCAATATCTAGGTCACTTGACAATATTTGCTTGAGTCTTGTAAATATAATGAAGGGTGAAACAGGATGAAATTGAATGTACAGTGTGGATGTGCAACAGTATCTTTTTCTCTGTCTAGGACCCGAGTGCTCCATCCCTGACTGGTACTATTCAGATTTTCTCTGCAGCTGTATATGGACTGGATGAGACCTCCCAAACTACAGAATGTGAGAGGAGAGTCCTCCAGCTGCTGGGAGCCATGGCTGATGGCAAATATTTCCAGCTTATCCAAACATGCAAGCACTTTCTCCCATTCATATCCTGAAATACCTGCCCAAACTTTTCCTATGGATCTTTACAAATCTCCCAAATGAAAAATAAGTGCCAAGAGAGGTACTTGTGCTTCTCAGGAAGGCAAAGAGGGATGGTGTGTGATTCACAGAGATTCAAGTGCCGGGTGGAAACTGCCATCACAGACCATCCACTTCAGGCACATGAACAAAACCTATGGGTTGAACATGAACTGCTTTAAGAACTGCTCTGAATTTCCATCATCAGCCGCCCACCAACTGTTTTGCCAACACCTGTGTGTTACAACATGTACCTGTAGCAGACTGTTGTGGTTGGCTTCATGTCTTGAAAACAAAATAGACTCCTTTTATAGAGATTTCCAGTGTTAGACTGCCAGAAAGTTCCTCAGCTCGTCTCATGAAGCCTCATTTTCTCACACACAAGTTCTGTAGCCATTGCCAGTCAGCCCAGCTCTGCAAGCTGACATGCACCCACCAGATGGTTCCTGTACTTCTGCACCAGAACTGCTGATGTGCACGAGGGTCAGCAAAAATGCACCATGGTTTTCTTCAGCTTAACACATTTCCAAGTCACAGAAAAGCACAAAAGGACATTGAGCATCTCTGTTCAGCAGCACAGTTGGCCTGTCTACAAGTGCAGATCTCTTGTAGCAGTAGGTTCAAAAAAATCTCAGCTCTCAAGAGGGGAAAAGGAAGCTGCTTTGTCATGTGCTGTGTAAAAATGCTGTGTGGGTTCTAGGAAATCAATAGTTTGCTGGCACAAATCCTAGTGCCAGGAAGGACAAAAGAGATTTTGGACATTCACTGGAGGTTGTGCATGTGTGTAGTGATGGAATATGGTTCAGCATAGCAAGCTCTGAAGAGTTAATTCTGAATATGCACATGGCTTTTGTAGGATGGTAGTCCTTAGTGCCAAAGGAGGTTTTCAAGGAGAAACCAAGCTCACAGATACTCATCTCTCCAAA